TCAGGTATTTCTGTTATAGCAACACAAAATGGACTAATACAGAAAATAGGTCCTGAGGAGTGGGGTGTTGCTATACAGACACCTGGAAATGTAGATGCAGCTTTAGAACTGGGTAATAGTCAAAGGTTGGAGGAGTTTGGAGGAGATCAATTACAAAGCATAGCTCTCACTGCATAAAACTTTACAGGAAATTAAATACTATTACTTGTCTAGTTTTATTTTTAACATTTAAGTCTTTGTCTGAGTAATTTATGATAAACCTATACAATGACACAGTGCACAGCCATTTACAAAAAGATACTAATTGTATATATTCATTCATTTCAATTCAAAAAATATTTTATGAGCCTCTACTTACCATGAATAGGTACTACCTATAATGTACCACTATTCTAGGCAATGGGGTAGATGTAGAAGACAGAAAAAAGGTTTCTACTCTCATGGAGCTTACAACAAGGGGACAGACAATAATCATTAAAAATATATATATAGAAATATATACCCAGTATATATATAAATATATATATAAGTATATAGATATATATATATCCAGTAGGGATAAATGCTATGATAAAAGCAAACCAGAATGATATATTGATTTGCGTATGAGACAAACTACAATTGGTAGTTTAAAAAGGTCTTTTTGAGAAGATAAATTTGAGTAGAGATGCTACGCAGTGTTCTAGGCAGAGAAGTAATTCGTGAGAACTACCTTAGTATGTTTGAGAAACACAGAGAAAGAAAAACAGTAAGAAAATATACAGTATAATCACAGTTAAAAATATGTGTATATGTGTTTGTGCACTATTTTCATACATACATGTTAGTTGAGACTTTTATTATGTATTTTGTTTCTTCTGTTTCTTGTGCTTTTTCATTTTCTTGCCTTCCTGTGTATTACTTGAACATTTTTTTTATAATTTCCTTTTTACTTACTGAAAGTATTTTTGAGTATATCTCTTTATATAGTTTTGCGGTTTCACTAGGTATATCCGTACCTAACTTATCACAGTCTACTGGTATTGACATTTTACCACTTTGACTTAAGTGTAGAAACCTTACTTTCTTTTTTTTTTTTTCCTTTTTGTCTTTTTTGCTGACCGGTAATGGGATCGCAACCCTCGGTGTCACGCCCGTACCGCGCTCAGCCAGTGAGCGGGAACTGGTCTCCACGTGGGATCCGAACCCTCGGCGGGAGCGCCACCGCAATCCCAAGTGGCACACTCTCCAGTGCGCCACCGGGCCGGCCCTGAAACCTTACTTTCATTTAAGTCCCTTTACCCTCCCCACTCTTTAATATAACTGTCTTAAGTATTTCCTCCACATACACTGAAGTACATCAGATGGTGTTAAATTTTTGCTTCAACCATCAAACACAATTTTGAAAACTCATGAGAATAGTCCATTATATTTACCCCTATTTTTACCCATTCTAGTTTCTTCTTTCCTTTTGAAGTTCCAACCCTCCTTTTGTTATCTTATTTCCTTTGTAGTTGGAGAACTTCCAGTGGCCAGTCTTTAACAGTAGGTCTATGGCGACAAATTCTTAGTTTTTCTTCCTCTGGGAATGTTTCTATTTCCCCTTAATTACTGAAAAGTATTTTTTGCTAGATATAGAATCAGAGGTTGACAACGCTTTTCTTTCAGTACCTGAAAAATGTCACCTCCTGGCCTCCATGGTTTCAGATGACAAATCCACTATTATCCAAATTGTTGTCTCCCCATAAGAAATGCATTGTTTCTCTCTTCAAGTTGAATACAGTCGTAATAAGATTTCTAATAAATTTTGTAAATGGAATTTTGCAAGATTATTCTAAAATTTATCCAGAGCAGCAAACTCATAATATAGTCTAAAAAATTAGAAAAGAAAGAATAAGAGAGGACATGCCCTACCTATTTAACTGCTATAGGAAAGCTATAGCAATTAAAACAGTATGATACTGTTACAGAAATAGGCAAAGAGAGCAGTGGAACAAAATAGAAGATCTAGAAAGAGACCCAAATATAAATTAGTATTAGAAGAATATAAGAAATATATATGTAATGGCTGTGAGAATATGCTGTATCTGCAAAATTTTTAGAAAGGCATAAAATCCCACTACACAGAGTTCCTACAAATCAATAATAAAAACAGGGATCTGAAGGGAAAAATGGGCAAAGGATATGAACAGTTATTTCACAGAAGATAAGTAAGAAATAGTCAATAAAGTTTCCTATTCTCACAAAAAGTAAATTAAAACAAGTATCATTTTACATCAACAAATGGCAAATATGACAAAAATTAAATTTTGATAATATTTGTTATTCATTCAGTCAATAACTATTCATTGAGCCCTCACTCTGCACCAAGCAGTATTGTAGTTATCATGGGTATAATGACGAACAAATTAGAGTGTCCAGATTCATAGTGCTTCTAATCTAGTGAGGTAGACAATACTAACAAAATAATCAGAACAACATATGTATATAATTAATTACAAACCAAACATAATTGCAAATTATATAAATGCTAAAGAGTGAGTATAAGATTCAATGAGAGTGTATGATTAAGGGGACCTTACTCAGAGATCACAACGGGATCGAAGAACACTTTTCTAAGTAAGAGTTGCTTGAGCTGAAATATGAAAGATGAGTTGAAATGAAGTAATGAAGTTATGGTGTGAAGGGACGGACAGCTTTTTTCTTTTTAAGGCAGAACAATTTTTTTTTTTTTTGGTCTTTTTCGTGACTGGCAAGGGGATCACAACCCTTGGTGTGGTGTAGCCCGCGCCGCGCTCAACCAGTGAGCATACAGGCCATCCCCATATAGGATCTGAACCTGCGGTGGGAGCGTCGCTGTGCTCCCAGCGCTGCACTCCCCCGAGTGCGCCAGGGGGTTGGCCCAAGGCAGAACAAATTAACATGCTCAAAGGTCCTGAGGTGCATGGCACTTGGGAAAACAAGATTAGCGCAGTCCGAGAGGGAAAAATAATTAAGAAAAGCTTGAAAATATATTAATAAGGTCACGCAGTCTTATGGACCACGTTAAGGACTTCTGCCTTTACTTAAAAAGCCATCACATTATATTAAGCAGAGGATTGTGACTAGAATTGCTTTTATAAACATCAGACTGATTTCCGTGTGACAAAAAGATTTGGGGAAATGAATGTAGTGAAGTTACAGCAATATTCCATGTTAGAAATGATAGTTCGGATAATATTAATAGCTAAGATTAAACACACACACACATCACCCTCGACATGTCCAAAAACAAAATCATTTTCTTCTCTCCTAAACTTAGTTCTTTTCCTGTGTTCATCATCTTAGTGAAATAAAATGAGTAACCAAGAGATCTGGGTAAGTCATCTATGGTAAAAGTGGATGTTGGTCATGAGTGAATGACTCAGTGGTGTAAGAGGCTTTAAGGAATGAACTTCTGTAAGTGTATATCACCCAAGCAAGAACGGTGGCTCTTCCTTCCGTCTACCATATCCAATTCTTCACCCAGTCTTTTAGATTCTTCCTTTAAATTGTTTCTCGAATCGATTTCCTTTATCCTCCTTCCCCCTGCACTAGTTCAGATCAGTCTTCAGGATACATAGTTAATGCTTTCACTGGTTTTCCTGGCTCAAGTCCTTTTTCCTTTCAATTAATTCACCCTGAACACAGGGAACTAGAATGCAAATATGATCATGCCACACCCTTAAATTTTTTTTTTTGGCGGCTGGCCGGTATGTGGATCTGAACCCTTGACCTTGGTGTTACATTGCTAAAATTCTTGTGTCTTCCCATTGCTCACAGAACGTCCTAGTTCCTTCACAAGGCCCTGCTTGCCTTTTCACAAGCCAGTGAATTTCTTCCATTTTCTTCTCTTCCATTTTGTATAACGGATCGTTTTTCGTTCTTGCCACTTTTTCATACACCGTTTCCTCCACCTGGAACAATGTTCCCTGACTCAGAGATTTAACTCTTTCCTAACTTTCATATTTCAATATATAGTTCCTCTCCCCTCCTCCCACCCTACTCAGACTCCGAGCTCTTCTAAGGCAGAGATGTGTCTGGCTTGCTCCCCCAAATTTCTCTTATGTGCCCAGGACAGAGCCTCGCACAACGCTGGGAGGAAAGAAACCCCCCAGGGCTGTGCAGTCCGAGCAGTCACTCGGGCTCCTCTTTTCGGAGGGCTTTAGGGGCTCAAGCTCGGGCATTTTCAAAGTCAGGGCCGTTCCAGCGGCGGCGTTCCTTCTCGAGGGTGAAGGCCATCCCTACGCCCGCACAGGGGACAGTCCGGGCCGCTCCACACAGGCGCGAGGGGCTCTGCGAATTGCAGTCGCCTGACCCTTCGTCTCGCGGCGCTGCGGGGGCGGTACAAGCATTCTGGTTATTATAGTTAACTAGGGTCAGATCTTGGACTCAAGCTCCCACTCCGCACTCGATTCTGGGACGTGCGTCTGTCTGAGGCTGGCGGTCTTTGTCTCAGCGCTGTGGCCATGGGGCATGCTGGGAGTTGTAGTAGGGGAGGAAATCCCTTCGTCTCACCTGCGGGGGCCGCGGTAGCTTCTGGGAAGTGTAGTTGTCGAGGCGAAGGTCTTTGTTTCCGCGCTGCGGACAGGTTGGGCGTGGCCGTGGGACATGCTGGGAACTGTAGTAGGGGACTAAATCTCTTCCTTTCACCTGCGGGGGCCGCGGTATGTTCTGGGAAGTGTAGTCTGAGGCCCACGGGTTTCGTCTAGGCGCTGTGGCCATGGGGCACACTGGGAGTTGTAGTAGCGGAGGAAATCTCTTCCTCTGGGGCCGCGGTAGTTTCTGGGAAGTGTAGTTGTCTGAGGCCGGCGGCCTGGTCGAGGGGGAGGGGTTCGGTCCCTAAGGCGCCGGAAGGCGCAGTTCCCGCTACGTCCCCAGCGGGGTCCTCGGGGGCGGAGCCGAGAGTCTGGCCTGCGTCGGGCCTGAGGCATGTGAAGTGGCCCGCCTTGCAGGTGCCGTGAGCCCCGCCGGGTGGCTCGGGCGGTGACGCTGTCCGGAGCCGGGGGACGCTTCGTCAACAGGGCCAAAAGCACAGAGGAAACGCGCCGTCCTGTGACGACTGTTAAGTGAGGAGGTGCTGGGGGCGCAGGTCCGGTTCACGGTACCCGGAGGCCTCCCTGCGAGCGGGGTCCCCAGCCGACTCACGGGCGCCCGGGCACTCTGGGCTCCGTGAATGTGTGGCGGGCGGGGGCGACGGGAATGCCAGCTGGGGGCCCGGTGACTCGGGCACGGCCCAGCTGGCCTGTTCACTCACAGCTCCTTTATTTCTCTGCCAGTTCTGCCACTTTCCACTTTCCTGGTCTCCTCTTGAGCCATGTCTCAGGTAAGCTGATGTTTCCTCTTTTCTTCCTGAAGTGCAGCCGTGTTTTTCAGGACTTGGGGACCCAGGCCCTTTCTCTTGAAACTACCTGTGCGGCAGGACCCAGGACCCTGCCCCCTATTCCTCCTCTTCAGCTGCTTGTATTTAAACAGCAGTAAAAAGAGTTGACAGGAAGCTATCCAGACGCGGGCGGGGTTTCTGTCTGGCAGGCACGTTTTCGAGTGAGAGGGTATGGTGACAGCTGTTACACTGTTTCCTTTTTAATCCCAGTATTAGGATGGGGAGTGCTTTACTTTACGTTACTTGCTGCAGCTATTCTTCATTCATCTATTCAACATATTTTTACTGAGAATCTACTCTCACCATCTATATGGGTAGTTCTCTGCTGATCCCTGGACCAGCAGTATCAGCATCACATGAAAACTTAATAGAAATGAATATTTTTGAGTCTCACCCCAAACCTTCTGAATCAGAAATTCTGGAGCTGTGGCCCCAGTAGTCTGTGTTTTAACAGACCCTCCAAGTGATTTTTTTTTTTTTTTAAGATGACCGGTAAGGGGATCTTAACCTTTGACTTGGTGTTGTCAGCACCACGCTCACCCAGTGAGCAAACCGGCCATCCCTATATGGGATCCGAACCCGTGGCTTTGGTGTTACCAGCACCGCACTCTCCCGAGTGAGTGAGCCACGGGTAGGCCTTCCTCCAAGTAATTCTAATGCATAACCCATCCCATGTCTTGGGGCTGCAGCAGTGAGCAAAACAAAATTTCTGAACTCACAGAACTCATTTTTTAGGCACGATATTAAGTTTTTTCATTTTTTTTTTTTTTCTTTTTTAGCAAGAAGCACTGGTTATTTTTATTTTGGCTGGGGCTAAATGTGTGACTGGTTATTGTGTTTCACAGTGGAACGGATAACAGGGTCAGCTATTCCAAATTAGTCCCTCTGTTTTCAGTTCCACTTCTGTGTCCTCCCTTTTGTCACACTTGTCTCTAAATCCAGAGGCTCTCCAAGTTTTGCTGGGGAATCCAGTTTCCACCTCTGCAGACCTTTACTCTAGAAAACAGCTTCCTTTACAAGTCAACGATTTTTTTAAAAAATCACTTTTTCTTTTTTAACTTTAAAACTGTATAACAAAACTCTGCCATATATCTGGGTCTGCTACTAGTTTGGGACCTTTTAAATTCTCATTCATGCCTTATTATGTGGATCACTGAAGTGGTGCAGAAGTAGGCTGCAAAGCAGGGGCTTATTATTCCCCGTAATCCTGAGGGAAAGAGCTTTAGGTTCTGTCTTGGTAGGTATTACATTCCCTTCCTGGGAGGTCCATGTACTTTATTGCTTATATCTTCCTTGTTCTTTGACACTGCTAAAATTGTCACTGAGTTTCACAGCTATTTCTTTGGATTGGGGACCACTGTGACAAACTTGAGCAAATGCCCCATCCGAAGGGTGCTGCTTCTTACCTGCTATAGTCAGTTATAACCATAAAGAAATCCTAGCCGAATCATATTAAAATAGACTGGTATTAAGGAAAACATACGTTGCTTATTTAGCAAAAAGGAATAGTCTTCATTATTCATTAAGTGTTAAAAGACTTTAAGAATTTTTACAACCAAAGCAAGAAATTCATGTTGTTCACGTGTATAATCCCTTATCTTGAACAAAATTGTAAATTATCTCAGGACTTAGTTCTTTCTCCTTTTCTCCAATTGTACAAAACAAAAGAGCTAGGTTCTTATATAAGTACTCAGAATTCTGACATCTTCCATTGTCATTACTTATTTTTTTTAATTTTTTTATTTTATCAATATATAATGTAGTTGATTTTCGTGTCCCTTTACCGATTTCTCCCTCCCCACTCTCTCCCCCCCTCCCACCCACCAACATCATATCTGTTCACTTAACGAGTTCAAGGAATTGTGATTGTTGCGTTGTCACTACTTATACACATGGTCTACCCTCCACAGTGAGACTCATTTCACTCCTTGATAAGCACCTTTGGGGGCAGGGGTGCTGGTTGTGCAGATATCTGTATGTCATTTCAGGGGTCAGTGACATTCAGAGATGTGGCCATAGACTTCTCCCAGGAGGAGTGGAAATGGCTTCAGCCGGCTCAAAGAGATTTGTACAGATGTGTAATGTTGGAGAATTATGGCCATCTGGTCTCACTGGGTAGGTATTCTTCCTCATCTCCCTCAAGTTAGAATTTGATCTTTAGGATGGCTGTTGTCAATCTTTTTTTTTTTTTTAAAGTTAGTTTTTAAGATGGGAATTGTAACTTCACCTAATCTTTAGACATTTTTCACACTTATATCTCACACTTTTTTTAAACCTATGTAATAGGTTTAAAATAGTAGTAAATATTTTTAATATTTAAAATAGTAGTAAATAGGTTTAAAATAGGCCACAAAATAGTAGTAAACTATATACTAAGTGGTATAGCTCACTGTGGAGTGAGGTCTTTATTCTCCCAAATAGCGAGAGTTGGTAAAGTTTACTAAAAGCTTCCTTTTTGGTAGCCTGACGTTTCTTTTAATGGCCTCTCTTTTCCTAGGATTCAAGGACTGATTTTGAATTTATTTCATTTTCTACAATCAGGTCTTTCCATTTCTAAGCCAGATGTGGTTTCTTTATTGGAGCAAGGGAAAGAGCCCTGGCTGGGGAAAGGAGATGTGAGATCAGATCTGTTTTCAGGTAAGTGAGTTAGAAGCTGGTAGGGAACATTTTTAAAATAACAACCCAACTAGTCAATGAGAAAGCAATACTTTTTTATATGTTGGTTGGAAATTTTTCCCTTAAAGATACCAGAGATGTGGAAATTATGAAGTCTTGCCCACAGCTCCACAGGGGACCACTTCATACCCAATTCTCATCTTATACTTTCCCCGCTTCCTCACAGATAGATGTGTTCCTTCTTTCCATTGTTAGCTTTGTCTGCTCTCTGAATTTCTTTCTTTTTGGTTTTTCATCCTTTTTTTCTTCAAATTGTCATATATTTTTATTGCCTAACAACAACAACTATATATATATAATTATATATATATTATATATAGTTATAGATACAGTAGTCTGTTCCATGTAATCATCCTGGAATGATTAATTTATTACTCTGATTAATTGATGATGTATTCATATATTCTCACAATATTTACTGATATTTTAATCTTGTCAAGACTTTCTATTAAGTGCTACTTAGGTAATAACTATCAAGGAATTTATGGCTTACTGAAATGTGTCTGTAAATAACTTGCATTAGAGATCCTCAAATTAGCAATTAAGCGGTGAGAGAAAAGGAATTTCCAGTTGGTGTTTTAGACCTGGATAATTTTTTTTTTTAAAGATGACCGGTAAGGGGATCTCAACCCTTGGCTTGGTGTTGTCAGCACCACGCTCAGCCAGTGAGCCAACCGGCCATCCCTATATAGGATCCGAACCTGTGGCCTTGGTGTTATCAGCACCGCACTCTACCGAGTGAGCCACGGGCCGGCCTTAGACCTGGATAATTTTGACAGGGACAGTAATAGAAACATAAAAGACAGAAAATGTTCAGTTTTGGAAAAAAGGTGTATCACAGGAGCCCCAAATCCGAAAGGGCATTTGCGTAGTGTTCCCCTATTCCAAAGAACTCACCCTGGCCAACAGGTAGAGACATTGATTTATTAGACTTACAGGAAGTGCTGATGGTGGCTGGTCAGCTAGAAATCTGCCCTGCCATGGGGTACATACCACAGTTATATAGTGAACAGATCAAAGAAGAGGTGTAAATCATTTGCATGTTTCTGTGTAAACCCTCACCTGACTCAGAGTTCTCAGGAGATCTGGCTGAATAGATAAATTAACCCCTCCTGGCACCAGGGTAGTTAACATCAGTGTTCTAACTCCATTTACATGCTAATTCATTTACTCAGGGCTCCTGCTTCCTACTGTCTATCATTTGTCTCAAAGGAGACTTGCCTTTCCTTGGGTAAAATACCTTGGCCAGGGGTAGTTTCCCAAGGGGAGGGGGATCTCTGGTATGCACGGGGACGGGGGATAGGTCTATGTCCCACATTTACTTTACATAAGGTGATAAATTAGTTTGAGATGTTTGGTGTGAGTAGAGAATAGTATTTCAAGTGACAATGTGCAACAAGCTATTGGAATATACAGGGGTCTTCAAAAAGTTCATGAAGGATTTGTATTATCTTTTAATTTCATTTTTCCACAAACTTTTTGAAGTACCTTTGTATCTTAGAAAAAAATTCAGGTTAGAGATGTAGATGCAGGAATCTTATATTAAGCAGAAATTGAAGCCATAATATTGAAGAGAATTGCTCTGAAAGCTTTCTTCACCTCTAATTGACAATGGAATTACTTGTGAAATTCTTAAAAATAACTATGGCCATGCCCCCACCTTGAAGATGAAAGATCTATGGAGCCTAAATATGTGTATTTATGAAAAGATCTGTAAGTTCTATAATTGATCCTGAAGGAAATGTCTAATGGAGGTACACTGACCTTTTTTCCCATTGAGAGAAAAGGAGGAATATATACATTTAGAAAGCAGCAGCTTAGGAGGACTAATGAGGGAACAGGAATAGGTACCATGAAAACTGAGCTCTAGCTTTAAGGAGAGTGGTGGTAGTCTCACTTGCTATAGAGACCTTTGGGAGGATGTAAAGAAGGATTTGGAAAGAAGGTACTGATGAGGGCTGAAGTCATGAGTCAAGTGCAGGGAGACTTCATTTGAGTTAACAGCACTGCCAGATCCTGAGAGCTTTCTATGTGCTCATTACTGTCCCCCAGCAAAGGTCATCTCTCTACTTTTATGGTAGTAACTTCCTTGGTTTTCTTTATAGTTTCATCAGCTGTTTGCATCTGTTTTCTACAGTTTAGGTTTGTATGTTTGTGAATATTATACAGAAGGATTCATAATATATTATGTTGTGATTTGCTTCTCTTTCAAAAATATTTTTTTGAAGATTTATGCATTTTGTTTGCTGCTCTAGTAGTGTGTTTCATCGTATGAGTAAATATACCACAATTCATCCATTCCACTTCTGAGGGCTTCTTGGGTTGTATATTAGTCCATTTCTGTTGTTTATAACAAAGTACCTGAAACTGGGTAATTTATAAGGAAATGAAATTTACTTTTTTCAGTTTTAGAGGCTGGGAAGTCTAAGGTCCACAGAACATATCTGGTGATGGCCGCCTTCTGGATGGGAACTCTGCAGGGTCCAAAGGCAACACAGGGTATCACATGGCAAGAATGGCAAAAGCAAGATAGCTAACCTCACTTGCTTTCCTTGGAGTAATGCACTGTCATGGATGGGTGTGGACTGGTGGCTTTATAAGGAGCACGAGAGAGCTCTTGTGAGGTTCTTCCCATGTGATACCCTGTGTCACCACAGGACCCTGTAGAGAGTTTCACCCAGAAGAAGGCGCTCACCAGATGCGCCCTCTGGACTGTGGACTCTCCTGCCTCCAAAACTGTAAATAAGTTTAATTTCTTCAGGAATTACCCAGTTTCAGGTATTCTATTATAAACAACAGTAACAGACTAATACAGATTGTTTGCAACGTAAAGATATTGCAAGCAGTTTTGATGTTGTACCTGTATCCTGGCACAAGTTTCTCTGTGATATATATCTGGGACTGGAATTGCTGGATTAGAGGATAATGACAAAATGTTTTTCAAAGTGCTTTTACTGACTCATTCCCACAAACACACTAAGTAAATTCCTGTTAGTCATCACAGTTTTCCCTATCAGAAGATGCACAGTGGTAGGTCATGGTTTGTTGAGCACCTTTTCATATGAATATTGACATTCAAACCCTTGACCTTGGTGTTATAACACTGCGCTCTAGGCCAACTCTACTAACCAGCCAACTGATACAAATCCTTCGTTAATTACATGCACTGTAAAATCTTCTTTCAGTGTGGCTTACTTTTTCCCTTCTCTCTCTTGATGAACAGAAATTTTTAATTTTAGTGTAGTCAGACTTATCAGTCTTTTCCTTTAAGGCTAGTATTTTTTTTTGGCCTGTTTAAGAAATCTTTCCTTACTAAGAGTTGATTAAAACATTTTCCTATATTTTCTTTTTAAAAATGCTACTCCTGGGCCGGCCCGGTGGCGCACTGCTACAGTGCGCTGCTTGGGAGCGCGGTGGCGCTCCCGCCAAGGGTTCGGATCCCACATACAGACCGGTTCCCGCTCACTGGCTGAGCGAGGTGTGGGTGCAACACCGAGGGTTGCGATCCCGTTGCTGGTCCCGGTCCGGTACGGGCGCGACACTGAGGGTTGCGATCCGTTGCCAGACACGAAAAAAAAAAAAAATGCTACTCCTTTTGCCATTGAGATTTAGATTCATGGTTCACTTTGAATTTATTTTGTGTATCATGTGAATTGGTGGTCAACTTTGATATCTTCTCTATGGAGATCCAGTTATCATGGTAACATTTGTTGACACGTCTGTGCATTTGCTTACTGTTTTGACATAAGTTAAATGTCAATTTTTGTGTTAGTATGTTTCTGGGTTTTCTGTTGTTTTTTCTATCTTTGCCCAAATCTATACAGCCTTATTTATAGATTTAATAATGGTTACCATTTTACTGTATTTGGCTCACCTTTGCCCCCCTTTTTTTGCACCATTGTTTAAACAGGGCTACCATTTAAGAGTTGTTGTCTCAACCTAGTGTAGACCTAATCAATACCTGAACTATGGAGGTGTCCTGTGGGTAGAGTGAAGTAGACAGACAGATAAAAAATTAAGGAGGTAGATTCAAAAGGACTTGGTGATTGACTAGATGATAGTCATGAAGAAGACTGAGGAATAATGGTTGCCATCACTTTTTGTTGGTATTATCTCCTAAGAAAAGAAGGAAGAACAAGTTTGGAAGGGAGGGAACAATTATATCAGTTTGAGACTTGTTGAGTTTTGAGTCTCTGTGGACACTTGAGTGTAAATCCAGTAGGCAATTGAGTATCATATTCTGGAGCTTGAGAAAGGTATCAGTGCTTTTCAAATTTTAGTCTGCAAAAGAGTCATTTGGAGAAGCTTCAAATACATATCACTAGGCCCTACGTCAGAAATTCTAAGTTATTAGGTTTGGGACGGAGCCCAAGAATTTGCTACCAAGATGATACTGAGCTAAAGTAGACATTTTGGAGTTATCTGCACAACTTCTTAAAAGTTTGAATTTTCCTTGTAAAATCCCTGTATTCCTATTGTCAAGTTTATTCTTAAGCATCTCTCCCCAATTTCTCTTCTAACAAGATATATTGCTTCTGTATAGAAATGCTAGTAAATCTGGGCCGGCCCATGGCTCACTCGGTAGAGTGCGGTGCTGATAACACCAAGGCTACGGGTTCGGATCCTATATAGGGATGGCCGGTTTGCTCACTGGCTGAGCGTGGTGCTGACAACACCAAGCCAAGGGTTGAGATCCCCTTACCGGTCATCTTTAAAAAAAAAAAAAAAGAAAAGAAATGCTAGTAAATCTGTATATTTATAATCTCTTAATTTTTATTATGAAAATAAAAATAATCTTTTCTAGATTGATTTTTTTCCCATAAAAATACTGTAATGATTTTTCTTTAATTAATAAACTTTACTTTTTGAAATGAAGCTTTAGGTTCACAACAAAATTGAGTGGAAAGTACAGAGCATTCCCATATACCTGTCCCCACACGTGCACAACTGCCCTCACTATT